GTGACTGAGCACAAAAACACAATTAATCCCCACAAAGTCAAATACATCAGTGTGTGTTGCCTTATTTGACAGAAAAGTAAACATATCCTGTTACTTCTGTCCCTTTCACTTACAATGCAAGTAAAATAAACCCAGTTAACAAATAACTGTATTACAATGCAGGTGATGTGAGAGATCCGTGAAGAATGTCTATTAAAAAAAAAAAAAAAAACTAAACAAAACACAGTTTAGCACACTGACTGAACATTGATTTTCTGTTACAAACAGTTAGACCACAGGCATATAAAACATGGATCCAGCTTTCAGGTCAATGCAAAAGTGCCTTACATCTGCACTTCATCTGCAGGCCACTAGATGGCGATACCTGTGGTTGCAAAAAGACTTGCAGTCCTATACAAGCCTCTGAGGAAACAGCTTTCTGACTTGAACTCTGTAAACACTTTTATAATGAGTTCAGTGCTCAGTCACTAGTTTTTGGGTTACACTGAATAAAAAATTAAGTCTATTTTATAAATCTGTCCCTGCTATGTTTCAAAGTGGAGGATTATCACTGGTGTGAAACCATCCTCTAAAAGCTAACAACTTGTGATTGTCATTAGCAAGTCACAAGCCACAAACCAACGATTGAGGTTTTCGATGTCAGACCTGCTCACATCCCATCACCTAGATCTTTTTTGCAACCTAGATGGCGACAGGACACGCTTCTGGGATTAAAAAACTTCAGAAACCAATGGGTGGCGTCACAGCAGCTGTGTCCATCTTTTACAGGGAGCCAAGTTGTGACATACCGATGACATTACTAGACCGTCATCTGATTAACTTTCTGAGCTCCACCCAAAGTTGCAGGAGCTCTTATACAACCAAACTAAGTAGCAGCTGCCATCACGAGGAAGCTGAATTAAATATTTAAAAAATTGTGAAGTGCCCCTTTAAATTAAACAGCAATTCCAAGAAAACTTCAAAGCATCTGACAGTCAGTGTCCCCAACCATCAGCTGCTTCAAGGTAACTCTGCTGAGTCTTAATTAAGGAATCCTGGATGAGTAAGCTTGGCTATAGTAGTCCATTTCCACTGTTTATAACAGTATGTGCCAACACACACACACACGCACACACACACACACACACACGCACAGTCTCTGCTTCATCTCTGTGAGCTGTGATCCAGTGCCAGAAGCGGCCATCTTCCCAGGAACAACTCTTTGTTTTCCTCTCCTCGAGCTCAGTCAGCGTCCCTTTGAGTTACAGCTCCCCGAAGAGCTCATTGTGTTTGTGTTCACAAGCGCGCACACACAAACACAGCCAGAGAGAGACAGCAAAGCAGAATGCTCCATTTATTTTCCCATTACAGCCTGGCTGGTTTACTCTTGAATAGTTTTACATGCTGTTCGATCTCTGCTTGCTCACTGTCAGTTTTTTCCACTGTGCGCATAAAAAAAAACAACCAAGAGGTTGACATTCCTAAGGAGTGGAAGGGGCGCTGAGATAAGGAGAAAAAGAAAAAAAGTGAGGTTATAATGAATGAAAATCCTGCAGAAAATGAATTTGATATGTAAAAAAAATATACATATTTATAATTATCTTGCTGGATTAGTAAAAGCTTTGATTATTGATTGCAAGTACTGCAGAGAATAGAAAGCTGAAAGTTCTCCTGATAACATTATTCCTCCTCAATTTTTGAGGGGTGTGAGGGAGCGGTTGAAGCAAAAGCAAAGTGGCCTGGTGTGAGGCCACACCATACGTCTTTTTGTCTGTGGTATTTCAGGGCTCATCACAGTTGCATAATTGAATTGACTTGCATGGGTGAACTTAATTGCCTCCGGTGCCACTGAGTCCTCGCTTAGATGTAGATGCACAGTGCGCATCGGCACATCTGACTTTTAAAGCAGCGCGCTGAGCCATCGAACACGGGGTCCTCTCATTGCCTGTATGGGCAGGATTGAACTCGGGGGTGATTCAAGGCTATTCAGCCAAGCCTTTTGAGTCACTGCAACTCCCCACCGTGGAGGATCCCGATAAGGCGTGATTCATGAGCAATGTCTACTGCAAGGCTCGGCCCGGCTGGGGACAACAACAACAACAACAACAACAACAACACCACCACACATGGACAAGAAAGCCACACACATAAACACAAGATTAACTAAAGAAAAAAAAGATAGACAGAGAGAAACGGGGACACTTTGCATGTCTGTAAATCACAGTGCAAACACACAGACATTACATTCTGATCCCCGTTACGTTTATAGTGTCGTTCTTCTGAAACTGTTACTAAAGTGCCCAAATTCCCTCAAGTCGTTTCTATCTAAATCAATGATGCAGCTCTGTCTCCATCTACTGGCAACAATTTGACACTGCACATAACCGTCTTCATAGCACGTTTACCAAGGTATATTTAATAAAGCGTAAAATATGGCAGAATCTTTGGGACATAAAACATTACACCAGTATTTTGTGCTTTATTTTTCATTACAAATAGGCGGCATCATCTACTATTAGCCATCATCTGACAGTTTCCTTCCTAAGTCATTTCTATTAAATGCTAAATCTGTGTCTGCAGGGTCCTCTCTGTCTTTATGGTCTCCAGTCTCCACCTCTATTTGATATTTCGGGGAAGTGCTCGGGTTACAAAATCATAATCCACTCACAGGTCACACAGACAGTAAACATTAACAGAAGTCAGCAATCAATCATCCACTGGCACACGTGGACAAGCAATTACGCCTGATATTTAAACAGTACTTCTGTTTAATCCTCTTTTTGTTGTGTTGTGCGGATGTACAGATACACAGACACACACACACAGCACAGATAAAGCAGCAGCGCACCGATAGCTCCAGTCGCATGGGAAACAAACAATTGGTGGTGAAGCATTGAAGCCAGCTTGAGATGTGATCCCTCCATCATGACACAGCTCTTAAAAAGGGACAGTACAGCACCAAGTAAAGAAGGTAAGATCAAATCTCAACTTCAAATACTTTCATTAGTTAGTTTATTGTAAATGAACCTATAAAACTTAACATTAAGCTTCTGAGTCAAAAGTAGTTGTTGACATAATTAGTAAATGGTAAATGGAGCAGTACTTATATAGTGTCCTGCAATTTAATTCAAGCACTCAGGTGCAAAAGAAGATTCCCAGTTTGATTCTGGAAGGAGAAACAAATCCTTTTTTTTTGGTTTTTCAAATTAAACATGCAAATCTTCCTGCTGTGGAAAGAATTTATTGCTTACATGTACAGTATACCAGTGTGACGAATGTTTCACTGTCATTTACACATTTTAAATAACCAAAGCAGACATTTTTCTGTTCTCCCTTTCAGAGGGTGCTAAGATGTGAATTATTAAAGGTCTGCTCACCTGAGCAAAATGAATGTTTGATCTCTGATTAAGTGCAAACATCGGCCGACATGGTGGAGGGAACAGATCAACAGTCCCCTCAGGTTTCATTGCTCACAGCAGACAATCAAGCACTCACTTCCTGGACACACTGGTGATGCTCAGAGATTATAGAGACAGTAGTGTAAATACAGAGAGCCCTGAGAGAGAGTGGGGAAACATCTTACTTTAAGTGCTCAGCAGAGTCAGTGAAACAAGTGAAAACATCTGACTTGGGGGGAAAAAAAAAACTATTGAATACAAAAATGCAGTATTTTGAATGCAGTCTTAAGATGCAGAATAAGAATGACATAAAACATTAAAGTGTGTCCGTGTAAATATAGTGCTAGAATGAGGCAAGAGGGGCAACACCATTTCTTGACCATTAACATTGATTTCAAAGGCTACAAGAAGATTTCAAGAACCCCACTGCTGTACCTGGAAAACCACAATTTTACATTTGTGAACACACAAAATGCGATTTCATGAGATGAGATTCAGTTTGATGCAAAAACACACTGTAGAATAGAGACGGATATTAATAATAACTCATTTTAAATGCAAAGTGGTCTATAAACAGGGGTGCACATAAGCGGTCCGCAGGTGCGCCTGCGCTGTCAAGATAAAAGACGCGCACCAGATAAGAAGTTGCAACGCACATTTGCGTACATAAGATTTTCTGGAGGAGGACAAACATTTGTTTAGAACTCTTAAAGATGTCTTAGAAGCTCCTTTAAGCAATTACTTTGGTGTTCCTCTACCTCCAAAGAAATGTCAGAAGGAGTCCGAACCGCAAAAGAAGCGCGTATTCTCGGAAAAGTGGTTGCAGGAGGTGAGCTGGCTTCAAACCAATGATGAACGCACAGAGATGTGGTGCAGAATATGCCGTGAAAATCCCACTCTAGCGGACAAAAACACTGCCTTTTATATGTACGCAAACGCGCGTTGCAACTTCTTATCTGGTCCGCGTCTTTTATTTTGACAGCGCATGCGCACCTGCGGACCACTTATCTGCACCCCTGTCTATAAATAAATAGAGAGTGAAAAGAAGTAAAGAAGAGTGCATCATGACCCAAGCAGCCTATTGCAATGCAAAATTAAAATATGGTATCTTGTTAATTAATCAACTTTTTTCCTATAACACAAATGCAGGCTTACATGTATCAGACTTGGGCTGGATCTAGTTTCACATCAAACAGATGTGTGAGCAGTTTCCAGTTTGTCACCAACTTCTCAGCAATAGAGCAAATTACTCTTCAAATGTCCAAACATTCATATGACAGACAAAGCAGCTCTAAGGCTACATTCGGTAAATTAGACATCCAACTATCCTCATGGTAATGTTGACCACTCACATTAGTTTAAGCCAACCTTTATAATCACATATTCAAAACTACTGTAGTAAAAACTAACAACTTCCTGTCCTTAAATCCCAGACGAGCTTCTTGTGTTCCTGAACCAGTCAACAGAATTCTGCAACCATTTTGAGGACAGCTATTGGTATTGCTACATCGTGCTGGTGCTCTTTGCTTTCACTGTTCCGGTGGGACTGCTGGGAAACCTAGTAGTGCTCATCAACCACACCTGCTTTAGGAAAACCTCAAGCTCCAGCAACATTTTCCTGCTTAACCTGACTCTGTGTGACTCGGGGTGGATCCTCACACTGCCCTTCTCCCTCTACATTACCTTGAGGAGGCCCCACATCACAAACATACAGATCTTCTGTCAGTTCAAGAAGTCCTTCTTCAACATCAACATATATGGAAGCATCCTCTTCCTGACTCTAATCAGTTTCGACCGCTTCGTTGGCACAGTGCACCCGATCAGTTCTCTTCGTTGGTGGAATGCGGGTAAAGCCAAACTGTGCTCCTTCTGCGTGTGGGTGCTGGTCGTCCTTAGCTCCATTCCTGACTTATTTCTAACTTTTTCTATTCAGCCCACAGAAAATGTCACTGTGTGTGTGGACCAGATCCAGGATCCTTTTTACTATGTCAGAACAGCCATCATTATCAGAACAACAATAGGCTTCTTGCTGCCGTTCACTGTCATGCTTGCTTTTTACACCATGACGGTTCGAGTTTTGAGGCGTCTCCCAAGAGGTCAAAGCAACCGAGCGAGAGGAAAGCCCCTACATCTCCTTACTGCCGCCATACTCGTCTTTGTGGTCTCCTTTCTGCCCTACCACACTATGGCCACCACCATGGTATTCATGAGGATTTCTAACCTGGTGACCCCCTCCAACACCAATGTACTCTATGCTTGCTATGAGTTTTCTGAAGCCATGTGCAGTGTAAGCAGCTGCCTGGACCCAGTGCTGTATATTCTGGCAGGTGAACAATTCCAGAGGAAGTTCCTGGCATGGAAAAGAGGCCAATACAGGAGGTTCTGCTGCAGAGCCAGCAGGAGGATTGGGGTAATTGAGTGATTTGCTGGAGACAGTTTATGGCTAGTTACCTTAACTTGCCTTGGTTCAAATAAGGTCCTGGCATGGCACTAGGATAATGTTGGCGCTATGCATTCCTTTGCAGACCCAGTCATTTAGAGCCAGTGGCAAAAATATATAGAACAACCTTAGTGGCAATTATGGCCTAATGGCCTCCAGAGGATACAAAGCATAACAACCAGGTCTGTAGTATAGTAGCACTAAGTGTTAAAAACAATGTATAGTCAACACACTATCTCCAGTTCAAACAATCCGCATTTTACATCGCACCATAAGCTCCTCCACAAATGGACAAAAGTGCTAGAGCAAGAATCCAGCTTCCCTGTTGCTACAGTGCCAGTGGCAGATATGATATAATAGTATAATTATCCTGGCCTGTCTGCTACTGAATCTACTGTGTAAGAGGAATGAAAAAGTATAGTGCTGTGACTGACCATCTGGGATCAATGCAACAACACAGCAAGATTGCATTATTGTCTATTCTATATTACATAAACATTTGGTTAAGATGAAAATAAATCCGATTAATCAATAAATCTTCTGTGGTCTTATCCTTGTTTGTGCATTGAAGCTGTGCCTATTAAAATCTGTGCACAGCTAACGTCACACTCACTGATAACACAAGCTCGAGTTTTGCTTATATAATGTATGAGAGTCATACAGGTGACAAATTATTTTCCAAAGACCTGAATAAAAGGTTCTTTAAGTACCTCATCCTCCAAGACCGTTGGCAATTAATAGCACAATCTATTTTGTGTCCACAGAATTTCTTAATATTACTAGTGTGCCAAGTCTAAATCACTGGCTTAAGGATATTATACCACGACCAAGTCTTTCAATTTTCCTTTACTTTAAGCAGATTTTATTTGTTGCTTTACATTAAAGTATTTCAGTTTCCTTGTTTTGGTGGCAGTGAGTCTTTTACTCATATAACAAATTCACCAATGTGGAAGTTTTCCACATTGGTGAATTTGGCCACAACTTCCCTGTTGGCAACACGGAATGCCACAAACACAACAACCAGCTGATCCGAGCAGAGGTGGGCAGAGTGTAAACAGGTAATCCACGACTTGCTGTGACAATAAAACAAGATTATTTTTAAACTGCATTGTCATATTACATTATGATAGTAAGAACTCTGTAACTGCGCATAACAAAAAAATACCGAAATCTGTTTATGTTTCGTGAAAAGAAAAATTATATACACATCGGCCAAATATTGGTATCAATCTTAAAAATCCAGTCTCCGTCAATCTTTTTTCTGTACGTTCACACCTCAAAGCACAAATTAGTGTCTGTGAGTCCACACTGCATAATACACTACTAATTTAAAACATCAGACCAGTCAAGTTCGAAGACCTTAAATGTCTGCTTATCGGAACTTTACTCATTTTTGAATGGATGTTTAGCCTGCTATGCTTTTCATAGCATGACAATCATGTGAATTGTGTTCTTTATCAAATGTTCACCCCACACTGACTATCAGAGTCTATTAAAGAGGAGCATCAAAGCTGATCTGACAGCTTGTGGTTGCCAAACAGTTTCCGAACACACTCTATGTCACCCGACCCTTAAGATTTTAACAATCCCTATATGACGTTCAGGTTCTGACTTCAGCCTGTGTCAAAACAGAATTAAATATAATCCTGTTAGACGCTTGTTATTTGTTAGTTATGGTGCCCATACCAGTTCAAATATTTTGACTGTATTGCAGAGGAGTGGATGCTACCATGGAAAATGTGATCATCATCAACAATGTACCATCCATACTGATACCTGAACTACACAATGCACAGTCTTTGTATTGCAAACATTGCTCTGTATTCAAGTCATCTATTCATACACATTATACTGTAAACTGTGAGGGTTTGCATATAATGCATATGCACTTTCATCTATTTTAGGTTTCAGTATGCAGCACTATTGCATCTTGTTTTGATTCCAAACCTCAGAACAATCCTGCCCCCTTAGGGATCTAAGAGTAAAAAAACAGAACACAAAAAACAACAACAAAAAAACAGAACAGAAACCCTGAGTTTCCTCTCTATCTGCAGTTGAGCATGTGAACAGGACCAAACCCATTCATCACATTGCTTATTTGCCAAGCTGTGGCAACACTGTGAGGCAGGGTGGGGGGTGTTTGTTGAAGCAGCTACGGCTACTAATGTCCCCAGAGCTGAGCACCTCTGTAACTAAGCATATGGATAATAAATCAGAGGTGGGAAAGTGACAAAAGAACTCCCTCCACTGGGAGACTGCAGCAAATAGAGCCGAGACATAGAGAGCTGGCAACTAGGCCAGTGTACCACTGTACCTGTTCCAGTAAGCAGTGTGGAAGTCTAGTTTTGTTATTTATGGCATTTCAGGTAAATAAGCAATTTCCTCTTGGCTGGTTTCCTTTGTTTGCTTGCTCTTTGTGTCTTTGTCTCCCTCTGCTGTTCAATTACTTGTCAGTTTTTGATTTTTTAATTCTTGATCTGTAGTTTCATGTGATATTCCAGATAATTTTTGAGGTTTGTATATCAACACAAGATAAAAGGCAAATTTCCCTTCACAACCAACAAAAAGGTTATGTTATTATCTCATAAAGGAAAGGTACGCTTCCAAATACGATTTCCTTTTCTCCACTACGCCTGCTGCTTGTCATGTAGTAGGAGGTGCAAGAGCCAGAATCCTGGGGAAATAACTTGTGTTACGTTTTTAGCTGACACACGCTTAGCTATGTCCAAGAGCTAGGAAAACGCTAACTGAATTTCTCATGAAAATGGTGAGACTGAACCAAAGCAATGATTCTAAAAAACATTCCGTAGAGAGGTGCTGATGGTGATCAAGCTTTAAAACCTGTGTGCATTTAACCTTTCCTGGAGCCTAAGGTAGCACATTTATTTTTGTTCACACCTAAATTTACAATGACAGGGAAGTCAGGGAAACTGACTGCAACAAAGAGACAAATGCACGGGCAATAAAATATCGCATAGCTACATACATATAAATATAACACACAGAGCCTCCTATCCTGCCACCCACACATTGACTCCTACACAGACTCAGTTCACTTTGACCTGCGGCTACATACTGCTGTACATAAGCCATGTCAGCCTTTGCTTGCCACAGTAATAACTCATGACAGAACCCAGATGGCATCCTGCAGGCTACAATCATCAAGACTAGGAAAAAGGGGATGAGAGGCACTCCAGCAACAGAGCAGCCAACATCACATCCCACAGTCTCTCTCTCACACACACACACACACACACACACACACACACACACACACACACACACACACACACGTCTGTGACCATTGGAGGCCAACTCTCACATTACTTACTATTCACAATATCTGGAGCCTTAAATGACTCATTCAGGTGGATAAGAGAAGTCATAGCTTGATTGAATGTAAGTGTCTGTAATAACATGCAAAGTAGGATCTAATCCAGTTAGGACAGTGCTCCACATGAATTAACATTACCCTTCACTTTGCCTTTTGGAATTCACAAAAGCCTCAGAGAGAAATAGGTGAATATTTTATGCTAATATGGTCACTGAGGCAGCATTAAAGAGATGGGCAGTGTCATTTTCTGCAAAGTCAAAATTGACAAAATAGACGGCTGCATTTATACTAACCTAAACTAATTGTGTTCTAATGTTAAATTTTTGCTGTACTTTCTAAAAACAATCTTCCTTCTTCACATTATTTCACCTGTAACACACTTATCAGAGCCCGACTGACAGGCTAATATTAGCAATTTAGCCATATATCGGTATCGGCATTTATAATAGCTATACCCATATAGTTACGTGGCTTTGCGTGACTGAGACTTGGAACACTGGGTCTGGCTCTAACAATTATTTCATTAGGAACTCATTGACATGAAACCCAGAGAACCCAGTATGACCCAAGATTTCATACAAATGTGTAATGACAGCCAGTCTTGCCTTGAATGACCAGAAGTCATTGGCTAGCACCCACTCGATTAGAGAGCAAACATAGCCTTGAGAGGCTGAATGGAGCAGGATAGGTTGTTCCTTGAGCCTCAAATGTCAACTTAAAAATCACACAAGTCACTCATCAAAGAGAGTTTATTCACTGTGGAAACACTGCGGTGCACCCATGCCTAACCCGTATAGCAACACGAATGAAAACTAGTTCAAATAAAGTGTTATGCAGCAACTGGATTAAAAACTGAGTTTCTGAGAGGGGACATAATATATATATATATTGTGACAAATACCGCACAAAAAGAGGAAGGCTGTGGGTGCAATTCACAGCAAAACATTTTCTAGGCCATGATAAATTATAAATGATGCAGGGGATGTGTCACCTTTCAAAACCGATGTCAGCTTCCAGGCCTGAGACACATTTCTATAAAGTTAGGCATGAAACTGCAAACAATGTCAGAACTTTAGCTCTGGTTCAAGGGAACAAGAAGACACCCTCTTCTAAATGCGGATACAGGAAAAAACAAAAAAACTTTCAGTGTGCCACTCTAAAGTGCTTTTTGTTTTTAAGATGCTCAGACCTTTGCATGGATTGTGTTCCTACCCAGAAGCATTCCCACTGGCTCCCTACGTATCAGAGGATAGAAGAGATAGTAGACTGATATCTGCAGAATGTTAGTGGGGGATATCACGATGAGCAGTAAGTGGGCCATGTGGGCCTGTGTGGCAGACTTATAATGGATGATAGATTTTATTGTGGGCCTGCTTCTGTAGTGCTTCTCTTATGCTCTACCTGCGTTTGTGATTGCATAACCGCTCCACTGAAATGTTGTGCATGGCATATCTCGCCTCTCCAACTCTCAGCCTCACTCAGACACACGCACAAACACACATCCGTGCATGTGCTTGCAAAATATCGCCGCTCTCTCACACTTACAGACACACACGCCCGCACACAGAAGTCCAAACCATCTGTTCAGAAGCTTGTTGAAGTGCATTAGTTGCACCTGGCTATGAATGAGCTGCACTCCTCTCCTACATACCTTAGAGCTAATGCAATTGCATTGACCCCGATACAGATCCACCGGGCCCTAGTGTAAAACCTGACATAAAACTGACTGAACTACATGCACACCTACTGTACATTGCCATTATGAATCATGCAACTGACAAATTGCTGGTGGTGTAACACACCAAGAGTCTGGAGCTTCCACAACACTCCAGAACTGGAAAAATATTTTGTGTCAATGTGATTTTAAAATGATGTACAAATCCCAGTTTGAGCACTATGTGAATTATGAAAATAGTTATATAGTGGATTTATTTGTATGCAAACAGATACACCCGAGTCCCCTGTAGATTCTTTTCCATCATCATGCTGCCTGTAGCCACCTGATTGTGCAGGACATATTGTGACGCCATCATGCTGCTTAGCAATCGTCCAATAACAAACTAAAATCACAGACCAAGAAAATACTGTAGTATAAACATGTAATAGTTTGGGAACAAAATATCACAAAACTTACTTTTTAAAAAGCAACTTCGTTCCGATGAAGAAGTTAGACCTGCTAAACATTTTCTGACTGAAGTCTTGTATGAACGTTGAAAATGCTTTCGGAGTGCCAAATGCACAATGAATAAAATTGATTAACCCGACTGTAATGAAATGGCAGCGGGCATTTTAAAATCTGCTGTTTTGGGGAGCAGTCTGACACTTAACCTCCGTTACATCCAGTAAATGTAACACGCTGGCTTTGCCAGTCTGTTAAAGTGAAGGCACTTTCTGGTGATGAGAGTCAGTGGGTATTTCCCTAACTCACAAGGATTTTCTTAATACAGCCAAGCAGATGAACAAAAATCAGGACAATTTACTTTATCCTCCATTCCTAATCCCGACCAAACTGGTCATGTGGTTAGATAGAAGGATGAATAGACACTTTAAATTTTTTCCTTTATTAATCTGGTGGACAATATAAGTACTGCAGATGGACCTAAAGAACACATTTACAATTAATTTTAAAACCTCCTTTTTACAATGTTTTGAAATTGAAATTGTTGTACTGATATTTAGATTAATAGAAATTAAACAAGAAAGAAAAAGCCATGAGATTTTGCATACAGAAGTGAATGGCTGGAAGACTCTTCAGCTATCAGGCCTCTCTACTGTGGGACCAGCTCCCAGTTTGGATTCCAGAGACAGACGCCCTCTCTACTTTTAAGATTAGGCTTAAATTTTCCCTTTTTGATAAAGCTTATAGTTAGGGTTGCATCAGGTGACACTGGACCCTTTTTTGCATTTAATCATTAGTTCCTTTTAAACTCTGGCTCTCTCTCACAGCATGTCTTTTGTCACCGATCGCAGCAGATGGCAGCCCCTGGTTCTGCCTGAGTGTTCTTCCTGTTAAAAGGGAGTTTTTCCTTCCCATTGTCACCAAGTGCTTGCTCATAGGGTTTGTGATATGTAATAATGCAGGGTCTTTACCTTACAACATAAAACACCTCAAGTCAACCAATACTGGATACTGGTACAATAGATACATATACCGGTATATAGAGAGAGAGAGATAGACAACAACAAGCAATACCCCAGAAGATGAAAATGAAACCGTGAAAAAAACAAAACAAAGAAAGAAATATTTCATCTTAACCCTAATGTGATGATCAGAGTAGGGACTAAAGTGCCACTTCTTGGGTAGGTGCTCTACAGTCTCATGTCTCACACATGTAAGCATTGCCTATGTGAGTCAATTAGTCAGTACTCTTGATGGGTGTCTATTCGTTAATGCAACTCCATGCAGTTCAGACTTGTTGTACTGAAAGTGTGTATGAGGTTGTAGTGATCAGTGTTCATTTCACAGCCTAGTGAGTACACACGTCTGAAAGGGGTTTAATTTGCCACATTGTTGATGGTCTATACACGCAAGCGCACAGTGACACTAAGCTATAATTTAGAACCTCTGAGCAATAAGCTAGCTAGTTTTATCATCTTAAACCAAATGAAAATCCATTCTTTTATCTTTTCACCGTGAACACATCACTGTGGCTGATCAAGAAGTAGTTGCAGCAACCCAAGTTCCTATAACAAAACTTGCATTTATTTAGATATGGGGATTTATACCCACCAATGATAGATGAGCCCAGAAAATCCAAAATATGTAAATTTACGCATCATGTTAAGGCCTTTTGTTAAGGCTTTAAAAATGCAATTATTATATGTATTATATACTATATATGATATTTTATATTTTGCAATGAATAAATATTACATGTTCTATTTCAGACAAACATTTATTTAAATCATATCAAATTACCTTTTTATTTTCCTCAGTCTAGTAATGGAGTCCTGACCCAAAAGAAAGAAAAAAAAACATTAGACTCTAAGTATAAAAACCCTCCAATTTATTCAGTGATTGCAAGTGAAGAGACAATTTTGCTATTACTAGATCTAATAACTCCCCACTTGCTCCACTTCCCGTCTTATAGGAAGGACTCTGCATTTGCTGAAACTGTCATGTCATCATGGATTCTCAGTTTTCTATTTATGTTCAGAGAAGATGATCACTTCGAGCACCCGCCACCACTCTGTGCCGTCTAATTATAGTCGGTAACGGTTCATCCAAGAAGATAAACCAGGGTGCCCAATAATATCCGGCACTAAGTGACTTGTGAAGTGAGCAGGAAATGAAATGCGTGAGTTCAACTGGAAGCACTGCGCAGTTCATAAAAGTGAAGGGAGGATGACAATGGAGTCACAGCCGTTATAAAGGAGAGTGACTAGGAGGAAGCCGAGCGAGCAACAGAGTGATACAAGTGTCATACGAACAGATGAAAAAAAAAAAGCCAGGTTGGTGAAAAAGAAGAGGAAATGTATCAAAGAGGTGTGAGAGCTGACTAACATGTTCCACTGCAGAGCTTCTCAACCTGTCACAGCAGGAAAAACACAGTTCGAAGTAACAACATAAAGAGTTCTGCTATTATAGTCTATCATATTTGAACAAAGCCTTCATTAGTGTTAATGCATTCGTATGCCGACACCATCTGAACTTTCTTGCAGTGACAAACCCTTAGTCTTTCACTTGAGACAGTTTGACTGGCATGAAAAACTACAGCCCTGTTCTAGTAAAACAGCTCTATTAAACGGGGAACTTTACTGATATCACACATCAAAATCTGAATACAGATTTTGAGAACAACTACTGCATCTGTGGGGGGAAAAAGAAAATTGATTTGGGTCAGTTATCAGTCCTATCCTGACTCAAAAGGCTGGATCGGATATTGTGACAATTTGCTGATATATATAAAGCTAATCTATTGAATTCACTTCCATGTTGCTCTCTGTTTACTATACCACACAGCAGTGCACCAGCTGCTACTGGTAAAGCTAATACAGCATGGAGGAGGCTAACAGCTGAACGCCAGCAGTTTGGAGGCATTTCACACTGATTACTCCAACAGCTTCTCTTTGGTTGTTTACAATAAATTTTAGTTGACTGTAAACTTAGCTAAAAAGCTCTGATGATGATGCTTTCCTGTCAAGTTCTTACTCTTTCTTCAGTCTCTCGCACTCTCACCATTGTTCTGTTTGGTGTAACATTTTTTGGGAAGCTTTCATTGCACTTTTGTTAATACGACATGCTGCAGTTAATATTATTTCACTACAACCATCTCTTGTTAGCAAGAATGTTAAAAGCGAAGTGCTAAAGCACTGTGCAAAAGTCTCTATCCACCCCTCAATTCATTGTACAGTATTATCCTAGAGAAGTGATAAATAGAGGAAGTGATTTATTGAAACATATAAACATACATACAACTATGATATAGAAAAGGAAAAATTGTAAAATGATTGAAAGTCTTTACTATATGACCACCTGTATTCTTCAACACAGTGTAAGCTCTCTTAAGCAAGTTTTCTTGACATTTCTTTAAGTAGCCTTTAGGAATAGTTCATCAGGATTTTTGAAGATCAGTCAAAGCTGTGTTGGCTGCTTTCTGTTCTGTTCTTATACTGCGTCAATAATGCTGAGGCCCAGGCTGTGGGAAAGCCAGTCGATGACTGATGGTGTCGCACTGTGTTTTTTTTTTTCTGTCCACGTATGACATTACTGCTTTGGTAGTGTGTTTGAGATCATTGGTGTCCTGAAACACGAAACTGATACCAATCAGATGCTTTTCAGATGAATCAGCAAGATGAATCAAAAAGATCATACTCTTCTGTATTCACAATGTCCCCAACACCACTGGCTTAAATGCAGTCCCAGACCATGACAGAGCCTCCACCGTGCTTTACAGATGGCTCTGAACACTCACTGTTGTACCTCCCTCTTGATCTTTTCCATGCATATCGATGACAATTTGAACCAAATACTTCAGGCTTTAAAATCTCAAAGTTTTAAGTTCATCACTTTTTAAGACCGATTGCCACTTTTTTCACAGTTCAGTTCTTGTGTAGCTGGCACACCTCAGCCTTTTTCTCCCCGTTTCCCTTTCTTAAGAAAGACGTCTTCACAACCATTGAGACCACTTCTGACGAGGCTTCAGTGAACAGCAGACGGATCAACTGAACAGCGAAATGCTTCACTCGGGTTCTGTGTCAAGTCTTTGCTGGTACTTTATTATGTTTCTTAAGGACAATGCCTTCAGATACTGTTGATCTACTGTAGATGTTTAAGGGCACATTGCACAACATGCTTGCTTATGCAACACCAGGTTTTCGACTAGTATCTCTTTGGGAATCACCTTATTGGTACATAAATTGTATGCCTATCAAGCTAAAATAAATAAATATTAAAGTATAAACACATAATAAATACAGTTTAAAATGTAGAAGTTGCTAAATTGTCTGTTATGTGTAAATACATAACACTGACCTATAAATCATCCTGTTAAGTCACTTAACAAACCAACAACAAAAAGCATTTGAAAGTGGTCAGCTATGAGGACTGAAAATTAAAATAAAAAAGCAAACGAATGTCCAAAGAAAAACTTTCACAGACCTTCAGAAAGCCTGGAGAAATATTTCTCAAGAGCAGGTTAAAAAAAAACATTACAAGAACATCTGGCTCCGCAACAGCAAAAATACATTAAAACGAGAGAAAGCTCAGGACTACTGCACAGCAATGTATAAAGAAACACATACAAAAAGATCACTGCATACACAAACTTTAGCAGACACTCTTCATTTTATATTTTGGAATAATTAGAGGAAGAAATAAGGGAAATTTTGTTTATTGCTTGGGTGTCTGCCATGAATACAGGAGTGTGCTTGTGAGTCCAACGTTAAGTCTCTGAGGTAATCTTCTAATATTATTTCCATCTGCACTTTTTCTACTGAGACATTTCTAAACACCTCTAGTCACAAATCTGTTGAAGGAATGCAAGTCCTCATATAGAATTTCAGTGTACATCTAATTACCGCAATGAAATGATGAATCAGCAGCGATTTCAACAAAGAAAATAATTAACACTCTCTTTAATTACGTTCCCATTGACAAAAAAAAAGCAGAGCAGGAGTATAAACGTGCTTCTCCCCGATGAATAGCAACAACAAGAACATCAATGGGGGTGGTGGGGGGAGTTCCCTCAGACAGAAAAGCCATTACTCTGCACATTCCACTGCATTATTGTGTGCATGACTTACCAAAGAGCTGGCGGTGAAATATAAACTTCCCGGCTAACAGGCCAGTGATAATGGCCAGTATCCAGCCAATTACTTTCAGGATGTTCCACCCGAGGCCTGGGTACTTGTTGAAGAGGAAAGAGAAACAGTTCCCCACCACAATCATATGGGCCTCTGTCTGACTGTGAGAGATGGGGTCCTCGGCGAAAATTAGGAAGTTAAAAAAGGTGACGAGGTACGCCACAATGAGACGGGACCACGGGTGCTGGAAATAGTAGCGAAAAAGGGCATCTATTTCCATCTTGCTAAGCCCTCCAGCCACACTACACCTGGGAGTCAGAGAGAGAGAGAGAGAAAGTGCTTCTTTTAGTCAGATTACATTACCAGCCAGGCAGATTAGAGCAAACACACCCCTCAGACACAGATTAGTGGTTGGAATATCACTAAAGATAATGGATTAGGATCATGCTCAATTCAGACCCGGCTCAGATAGAGCAGCACCTCCAATAACGCACACAGATTTCTTAACACAAAACCAGAGTTTCCAATCAGTCCTAAGATTATCACTCAGCTGTAAATTAGCAAACAGCCTATATCCTGTAATCAATTTAAAGGAGAGAAAAATAACATAAAGTGGACGATCAATCCACTCAAGTGTCCTCTTGTGCCGGTGAATCCCGTGTCATACCTGGAAGTGGTGGACTCTTGAAGTACTATATATCTATTAGCTATAAATCGCTGGCTTGTCTTCTTTCAGCCCGTCTGCTCTGCGCTCTTCTTAAAAAAAACTGTTCCAGCATTACAGTGAGGCTTTCCCCGGCAACACCAGCCAAGCAGTGCATGAGTAACCTGCAGACACCCCGTCCCTCCTGTATTTTTAATCATTATTCACCCATGAACTCCACTCTTTCTTTACTCCATCGCTCTCTACCTCTTTGAACCGTCTGACTTTGCTGGGCTGAACTTCTGCCTGCTTTCATACCTTCCCTAAAACAGGGCATGGAGGAATTATGTAATGGCTTCAAAAATAGACCTGGCTATTAAATTTCACCGGCATCATGTTTGTCTTGTCATGATGCTGCCACCTTGGGTGATAGTAGGCTGATGAGGTAAAATGCAGATTTAGTTTGCTTTCTTTATCAAACTGCAAGCATTTAGAGGAAGAGGAGCAGGAGGAGAAGGCAGACTTTTAGTGTGACCAGGGACCTGCTCCCATTCTGTGGCTAGCAACTTGTGACCAGAGAGTCCCAAAACATGAGTTAAGTGGGACTTAGCACCCAAAAAAGAACAAACTGGGCCGGGATAAGTTTATCTGAAGGTGGGTGGGTGGGCTATACCCTAGATAACCACGATGAGTAATGAAGAGCTCAACTGATGTTTCGGGACCTGAACTCCCTCTAAAGCATAAAGATTAGATTTGCACTGATCAGAGCAGAGCAGTCTAAGTGCTGCAGGAAATACTCCAAATGGCCTCTCTATTTGAGGCACTTCTGGCAATTTCTGAATGGACTATCGTGTTCAGGGCATTAGTGCGTGATCGCACCAATCTCCCTTCTAATGACGCCAAATGTCACATCACTGACCTTATATAATTATGAGATATCACAACAAGCTTGACCATTTTGGTTCCTTCTTATCTGAATTTAGGGTTCACCGAGTGAGATGTGGGACAGCCAAAATCCGTGCAAGTTACCTGCATGCACGTCGCTTTTTCTCATTTGTGGATGTGCAGTGGGTAAAGTAAACACGATTTTACACACCTGCTCCACGCCGTTTTATCTCTCAGTCGATGTCCAGGACGAGAAGCCCCGCTCCCGCTCTGCTCTCCGGCCACATCAAGCCGGCAGCGGCGCTCTAATCATCCTAAACAGGAGATGATACGACAGGGCTGAAGTGGGATTATCCATGCGACCTGTTGTTGTTGGTATACGACAGAGGCACCCACAAATCCTCTGTCATTGTGCCGGACTGTCCATACGCCGGGCGGGGCGGCTATTAAGCGGGCGGTGCTTCGTCACTGAGTCCCCGCCGTGAGGTGCGGTTTCTGGGTAGTAAGTAGGACGCTTCTACCGCCGCTGTAGCAAGGATGGAGGAGGCTGAATCCACACAGCAAGCGCAGCATCAGTGCAACGCAATGTAGCCAACACGTTGATTCACTAGCGCCAAAGTCAGAGCCAATACAAATACACGACTTCCGCTCACGTGTTTCAAAATAAAATAATACCGACATCCATAACACAAGTAAGACTTGAGGAATCTATAAGTATACCAATATATGTATCACAACAGGCCAAGGACGAACCTCTAGTATTAACGGATTAGATGTTGTTTTCCTTTATTTTTCAAGTTACTTGAACTTAACCCATTAAACATCATTAGAAACTACCAGATTTCTATGAGGATTTTTCTGAGGAAGATTTTTTCCGCTTCTGAAAAAAAACTGTCACCCATAACTTGATAATAACGCAAATCTTTAACTTATTAACTCAAAACTTTGGGATACCTAACTCGAAATTTGGAGTTATTTCCTTTAAATTTTGAATTATTAATTCAAAACTTTGAGAACCCAGCTTTTTTTTTCAGTGCCAGAAACAAACTTCCACAGTGACTGTAATCGTCCTGGTTTATGTTGAAGAGTTGAGTGTCAACGGTCTTTCATCTTCAACCAGAATATCCGATAAAATTATCCACATTATCTAAACTCATCATATCAGGTGAATAGTCTATCCTACCTGGACACTGGAACGAGGTGCAATTTGCCAGTGATCATTCATTTGTTTAGTCACAGTCAGTGTTGGTCAAGTTACTTGAAAAAAGTAATCAGTAACTAATTACTGATTACTTCCTCAAAAAGTAATCCCGTTACTTTACTGATTACTTATTTTCAAAAGTAATTAATTACTTAGTTACTTAGTTACTTTTTAAAAACA